GATTTGTTAGATTACACCATATTTACCCACATCCGACAGAATGAAGTAAACCGACAAGAACTGTCCAAAGCTTCAATTCAGTCCAATTTGACACTTTTAGGTGAATTGATCCCCCTGATGAGTCAACACATTTTAAATGCGCAGGAGCTGTTTCATTCATTGCATCGAATGGAAGAGAAATTTCTGACATTTCAACGAATGACAGAACAGCTGAGCCTACGGACTGATTGTTCAAAGATATCGTTCCCCGTAGAAGAAATTCGTAATTCTCTTGGGTAAACGAGATGAGTGCACACAAGAAATGGATATTGTGCGACCTGCGCAAGAGTCCAAACGCAAGCCACCGATGTGAACAACCAACTTTGAACAAAAGTAATCTAGAGCTGGGAAAAAATGCTGATCACGATGATACTGATTTACAACCGCATTTTTTCTAAAATGTAAAGTTTCGAAAAACTATGAACAGATAAAACATCGAATTCTATTCCAGGTATTTGAGGGAGTGATGATACTGAGTGAGTTCGTTGGTCGGGCGAGCTAACCAGTGTTGTTTTGGGTGACGATAACAGAAAATTTTCTTCGCAGACTGAACAAAATACTCCACTGGGATGTATTTTCATGAAAGAACACATGCTGAAAGGTCGCTCAGGTCGGTAGCCCGAGACACGGTAGAACTATGACAATTTTGACTGACTGTTTGCCACATTCATGTGATCCTTTCATCGATCACAGATATTCGTCTTAATCAAATGTAAACTGCTATCTGTTGTAGTTATGATACATGAAGTTAAATCTGAATAGGAATTGCCATGGCTACTGAGCTGAAGTGGCACGTTGAACTTGTTTCTTATAAGGTCTCATATGATGTCTCTAAATCACGATGTTGATCATTTCAATTAACTTATTGATCATCCTAACCAAATGCACTATTGTTTCATTTAGAGTCCTTCAACAATCCTTGTGGAAAGTGAGCCACTGTCTCTCGTTGGGTTGCGACTATCATACAAGACGACCCTTAAATAAAAAAGGTAATGGTTGTGACCTCATGGAGCAGTGATAATTCCCACGCCTTGGAAGAAGCCAATGATGATCCTCGAACATAGAATCAACTAGAAAACCAACCGTCAGAACCACTAATAATAATAATAATAATAATAATAATAATAATAATAATAACCATAAGATAATAATTCGCAATCAATTCAGTTACTTGTGAGTAGTGGGTGCGGGTAAAGTTATACTGATGTGGACTGACGATCCTTCAGACTTCATCGTCACACACAATCCTCAATTCATGCAGGCAAACATACACCCGGAATACACTAGACTCGAGTTTTACTCTTAGTAGAGCTCATCAGTATCGCATGTCCACCGTCCCGTCCGGGCTTTTAACTGCGGACGCATCCCATGAAAGGCGTGTGTTATCACTGTACCAACCAGCCCACACCTGGGCTGACCAGAATCGTCAATTCATGTATGTTCAGATGTTCAATGATGATTAGGCAGTTACTTGGGACCGACAGAAACGAAAGGAGACAGTCGACTATCTGTTAACTCTATTCGAAGGCCTCCCACCAAATCAGGACTTCCATGCCGGTCTCGGATAATCTTACCCAACCCCACTAGGCTGGACGGGTTGGGGATTGTGTGTGAAGATGAAGCCTGGAGGGTGGTCAGTTTACATGAATAATAATAATGATAATAATAATAATAAGACTTATCAGATACAAAATCTCACAAGTAATGTTGAGGAAGAATGAAAATTTAGAAAGGATAGAGTGAAGAAAATCAGTTAGGGGAAGATAACTATAATAGATATGAGAAATAACTGACCGACTACAATGGTCACTATTATTTAAGAACTACTATCATTTTTAAGCGCTTTTGCCATCGTTAGGATTATCCGTTTGCCATCTTCAGGACCAGTTACTTAAAGTGTTTCAGGTTTACATATAATACATTACGCACAAAACCTGTGTCAAAAATACAGTGAAAGCCGGTAAACACAAAGAAACTCATAGTTTTCTGTGAAAATCAGTGGGTTAGTTAAAAGAACCTAACAAATTGTATGAATAACCACCCCACCCCACCTCCGTTGCAAAGCGATAGCACCACAAAAACCCTTTCCCATTCTCTTCTGTGTCCAGCAAAAATACCTACTTTTTTAATCCATTCTCATTTTGCTAGTACGAACCCTTCTGATCGACCACAGTAATCGTCCTCTATTTGGTAAAACATGAATGAGATCATGGCAGTTCAGGTGGGTGATCTCACCCGATAATATGCACGTTCTAGTATGACGGCAAGAGCACATTTTTCAGTTCACGAGAAAGGTGAAAGCACAACAGATGATACAAACGACACTTTCATGGTCTCTAAACAGAACTGGGAACAGTCATGTCGGATCTGTTAACGATCGGACAGGCAGGGAATACTGCAGTTGTAGTCTTCAATGAGGCAAATTTCTCAGGACTAAATTAGAAGATTTAGCATAATTTATAAGATAATCACATTGTTTATCTTCAATTTAAAATACATTGAGCGAGGAAGAAGCGCCTACATGAATGATAAATGTCACATGTTTATATAACTAGCCGGTCTTCGTAATCAATAATTTTTCTGACTTTGCATTGACTGACGTTCACATGCTAGTACAACGCTCCAAAGAGCTCGATTTTCCGGCGGCGAGATTTCTTGACTCCACTGTACACATCATCTTAACTTTTTTGCTAGACGGTTACGCAATTTACTGAACTGTTGACAGATAAGTCATGTCCACAAAAATCTTACACATGATGCAACGATGTAAGTTACCGTATCCCGTTTCTCCATTTGATGGTGAATGGAGAAGTACAAAGCTAGGAGCGGNGCGGTGAAGTCGAACTAACTTTGCGCAGAAACTGTTTACGACACGCGACCATAATACTCAACGTCATCGGTTAGGTTGAACCTGAAACCGTAAACTGGGATGCCCACTGCGACCTACATGACAAAATCTCCTGGTGAAATCTTTCAGACTGTCATGACAAGTTTTCGTTTCATCACGCAACCTTATTCCAACTATTGCCTCTGTGTTGACAGACATCACACGCAGAGGAAGCCTATCCGTTGACATGCTAAACTTAAACTACAGTCATCTTCATTTAAGGAGCTCAAGCACTTGTTCCACTGTGTGATGATGATTAAATAAATCTCTGCGTGTAACCTCGGCGATGATTACCACTGTCCCATCAGGCTTGTGAAATGTTGCGTAGACAGTGGTGTTCGCAAAGGCCAGACTCAAAAGGATTCTGTCATATGACGAAAAGTGTAGATATAACCGAAGCGCCAGCAACTAGACCAACACTGAATGTTCCGACTATCGAGAATAATCCTCAGGAGTTAGTCGGTTAAATTTCGAGTTGTATTGGTACAGCTGCCGCAGGTGGGATGGAGCGAACGTGTTGACAATACCAAAGTAATCCGTCATGGGTTATGAGAGTGCTCCAGTGAAAAATTCATTGTCAAAGTAAATTGGATGAGGTCGAATTCGCGGATTGGGACATGTTTGCACGTATCCAACACTCGACTACCCCATTGCACCCTGTTTGAAATCGCCGCTACAGGCTGAAGAAAATTACTCGGGGATCAACAGATGACACAAAGGCAAAGTCTGATGCACTGGGTAAAGAGAGTTCATAAAGTAAACGTTTCCCAACTTCCGGGCTGGAGTTCAAAAGAGTTACAACTGGTTGCTTGTTGACACGGAAGGGCGAGGCAGGAAACCAACATCAATCTCCTACCTGTTGTCATTTCTTATCCGAACAGAACACTTGAAAAGATGTGCATGTATATCCATTCCGTGTACCCTGTGTGTTTCCGTGTGGACCATTATCCTTCGCTTGGTAGTTTTTATTGTGATCAGTGCAATTCATGCTGTGATCTTTTGAAAATTTCTTATTTTTTGCATTCCGCCCCCAAATCATGCACTTGTGAATAAATACATTTGCCCATGAAAATGTAACAGCCAAGCTGAAGTGAGGGCAACCTTCGCAAAAGTTAACTAGGCTAATTGCCTTCTTAATTCTTGATAGGAAAACTAAAATACCAGTAAAACTGACGTGGCACTTAAGATCATCTTGATGAAAATATTCATGATACAGGAAAGCCGTTCACAATTGGACACAGTTGTCTAATTTTTCTTCCGGAATGGATTAGCCTTAATTTTATGGATGAATTTTAGTGACCTGTAATGACATTTTTCAACGTTAAGTGCTTTCTTGACATCATGAATGCATCACAATTTTTAACACTCATAAGAATTGCGTAAATTTTTAACCGAACACCATTCATCATATTTTCAGCACCAATAACAAACAGCTGACCTGTGTTGTGTGTGTGTGTGTGTATGTGTATACGTGCGTGTAAATAGATGTGGTCAGGTGGTAGCATCACGTGCGAATGCGTTCCAGAGATCGGTTTTATTCAAACAACATTGACGAGTCACACTTTGTGAATCCAGGTGTCTGGGCGCCAGCTTACAGTTCGTGCATTAACTGATGTCGAAAGATCAACAATCTTTGCTGTCTTCGGAACAAAATTCACTACTGCCATCGACAACTGTAAGCGGCTATTTTGACAACTGTACCTCAAGCGTTACAGGTGAACTAAATTGCCCGACCGGACCGAACGAATTGAGCGGAACAAAATATAAATTTTTCTATAACCGTCTGTACAAATGTTTGTGCTTTTTAGAAAGTGAGAATCGGAAATTATTACAAGCGGTACAAAACAAGGTCCGTGTTACCGGTGAACCTAAACGTCTGGAAGATCTACTCGATGAGTTCGCTTTCAAGGTGGCGAGTAAAAAAGAGGCATATGAAACCTCCCTTACAGCTCAAGCGACTTCCGAAGGTCAGCAAGCGTTCATGGCAAAACGATGGAAAATGCGCTACCATAATCTGTTAGACTTAGCCCAAATGTTTGAGAAGAAATTGGAACAAATTAGACAAAACAAAACAAAGTCATCGTCTGTTGAAGAACCAGAAGTTAATGCAGAATTTTTTGATGAGGCACTCACATTGCCCTGGAATTCGGACGCCGAGTTCGAACAAACATTGCAGGATGCTGTCGACGATCTGGCCTGTGACCAGGAACGCGAAACCGGACGTCGAGCTACTACTTATGAATTTAATGACTTTACCATACCCATCTCGAGTGTGTTCATTCAAGATTTACTGGCTAATCACAATCGTTGCGTAGAACAAATAAACAATCAGAATGAGATCAAATGTCGATTGTTTCATGTGCTCAAAAAGACTAAAGAACAACGGAACCAGCTGAAGAAATATGTGATGGAACAGGAAAGTGAAATCCAATTCATGGAACGAAGAATTGAAGAAGTTGAGGAGGCCGTACAACGACGTGACAACGCTTGTGCGAGAGACAGTTCGAGGAAGTCGCGTAGTAAGAAATCGGATGCCGAGTCCGGTTCTCGAGCTAACACACCGGAAGTTATTCCCCGGGAAACCTCTCAAGAACGTGAGGAGATGGAAAAACTAAAAGCGGAAGTCAAGCTATTGGAGTATCGCAAACGGGAATTGGAAGGTATGCTGGCCGAAGAGGAACAACAACGACGTCGATTGTCCAAGCGTTTGCAGGATTTGGTCGGAACGATTCACGTCAGTTGTCGTATACGACCACATCCAGATAATTATCTACAAGTGATCTCAGACGATAAACTACTTTTTCCTAAATCATTACCCATGACCACTGGCAAAACAAACAGCATCAGCCATACAGGGGCGGATCAGATGCGATGTTTCATATTTGAAAAAGTTCTCGGTCCGGAAACCGGACATTATGAGATATTTAAAAAACTAGGACAACCGATAACTCAATGTCTGGACGGACATAACTTGTGTGTTATGACCTATGGACCGAAGAAGAGCGGGAAATCATTCACCATGTTTGGTAGCGGATCCGCGCCGAAGCCGGGTGATGGTACAGAGGTTACCAAGGGTATTGCGCAGGATGCAGTGCATTTGCTTCTCTCTCTGGCCAGACAGCGCACTGCTTGGACTTATGAGATCCATGTGGGTGCATTATCCGTGAACGACGAAGGAGCGACAGATCTGCTGAAGGATAACAAATATTCCTTCATGAAAACAGTAATGTCACCTGCGAATTTGATTGACGATGACGAAATCAAAGCACAGCATCGGGCGGTTGAACTGAAGTTGGGTTTTGATTTCGATAATCTGGTCCATTCGGTTAGAGAGAGCCAAATGAAAAAACCAGGACAAGCCACACATTTAATTATCAAACTATCGATTGAAGGTTATCAAAAATCGGCGAAAGAAACAACAGTCCACTCGACCGTATTGCTGGCTGATTTGGCCAGTTGGGAAAAACGATACAGCACAGATGAGCTAGAACTGGTCACATCCCAGGCTACACCAGTGGTTGAATCCAACATTCCGGTGCAGCCGACCACGCCCAAACATAGCACAGGTGTGAATCAGTCATTGCTTGCTTTGTCCCGTGTTTTTACCGCGTTACGAAAGCGGAAAGTGCCAGCATTCAAGGATTCCCTACTCACTCAGTTGCTGAAACCGGTTCTCACAGGCGATTCGAAATGTTTTTTAATCATCACAATCAATTCCGATCCGAATGAGTTCACCTCCACTCTGGCTAGTTTACAATTTGCACAGAATGCCATGCAAGCAACCACTAAATTGGTAGCAGATCACCGGCTGAAAAAGCCACGCAGTCCGAACCAGGGTGAAAGTGTGTCTAAATAGGACGTGATTATCAGGCGGACGCAGCTGAATCGATCGGATGATCAAAGTAATCGAATGGCCGCCGATCACTAACATGGATGGTACGAGTGGATGTAGGATTTTGCGAATTGACCACAGTCTACTTTCAAGTAGTTTGCGCATAACTGCAGATAATAACAATATCACGATATCTGGGGCAAAACAGAAACGCTTTTAAGCTAATGTTGATTGTGAGATAGATAGAGCTGGATCCCCGTTGTGATGAAGTGCGAAAAGATCATTTTCATGCAGAATATATATAAATTTCACACATGTCTGATTTCAGACTGTGCCAAAAATCACACAAATCAAATCAAATATTTATACAGAAAGACGAGCCCAACTGAGAGCAGTTAAGTTACTTTTTTCCACAGGAAAATAAGCAGGCCTCATGCATTCATTCATGAAGAATCTTGAGAATAGAGTACAAAGTAGCATTCCCAGTAGTAGCTGATCCTCTAATTTAAGGATGCATTCCTAAACCTTGCAGAGCCCAATGCCACCCGTAGGACAACAGGGAAACAGAGACAACCTCCTTATTCAATGGTAATCACATTAACTCAAGTCACAATGACTTTTAGGGACATAAGTATCCTTTCGTTGTAGAGAACCTGCTCCTTAGACAAAAACCAGCCGTGCTTCCAGATATCGTTTCTGAGCATCTGTGACCACGTTTAAGTAAACCAATACCCGCCTTGACTACAAACGTCCCCGGTAATGAACAGTTCCATTGACGGTCGATTTGTAACTGCCCATGAGTTTCAGCGAATCCGCCGGCGGTTCAACCTGAACGCAGAACAGTACACGGTCTAATAAAACTACTGACGATCAACCATTTCGCATGACTCATTTGATGAACCTAAGCCTTGCGCATCATGTTGCACGCAATTTTAAAGTCAGCGGCATCTGTTTGAAAAATTAAATCGCTTCATCTTAGTGGCAGACATTTTCAGGCCTCCGATTGAACCAAATCTCAGGGCTTTGACTATTTGAAATCGTCTTTTAAAGCTAGTATTCAAGCCGAAATCATGAAGAATAATGCTAACCCGATACATGCAGTAGTGACAGCCTTGGGTTGATATGTCGAATGTGTCTGCTACAACAGTACATGTTCTGGAAATCCCAATAGTTGAAGCGCACATCTTTTCAACCAACTGACGATTTACCGAATTAGGACAGATACCTCCAGCTGATATCCACGTGTAACGTGCATTTTCTTTCAGGCCACTATCTCCCATCTAAGGTCAGCATTGTGGCCTCAAACGTCCACATGCCGCAGCTATCCGTCCAGGGTTCAATTGTCCTATATGAAGATGGTCACTCGACCGAGAGCAAGTAACTTTCGATTCCAAACGAATGATCTGATGAAACATTAACAACTTCAACTGATATTGAGTTGATTCAGCGACACGGAATAATAGCGCGGTGCTGGAGCCAAATCTGACTTTGAAATAGAATTAATTTAGTGAGAAGAAAATAACTTACTCTACTATGAACGCTCACCAGTCAGGATCTTTGAACGATCTTTATAGGCGGAGTTGAAGTTGATTATGAAATTAACTGATTGATTGATGAAGCAACCAACTCCTACTTTTCACCTTCAGTACTGCATTTACAAGAAAGAGCGCGTAGAACGAAACACCGTTTGCTTTCAATGCAATGGGAACATCGTGTTAGGCTCCCAGGTAAAGGACCTCATGACCAACCCGATCAAAGATTAGACACAGAGAGGGGTAAGCAGAGGCACCTGTGGATCCGCTCACTTAACTGACAGATCTGTTATGCCTATTCTTTGTACCTTTACAGTGCTACTATTCTCAGCTTGCACCTCTTTCATTAACTCCTTCCTCAGTGATCAAACAAACGGGTAGTCGAGGAATGTCAAAAAATGCAAGCCTAAGAAAAACAGAACCGGGACAGAGGAATAAAAATAAAATCAAAAAGTACAGTCTATGATTCCTTGCATAAATTCTCAGACTGTTGCGTTTCCCATGGCAATTTCTCCTTCGCTCATGGTATTTTAGCCTTGATTCTTTGTGTTTTAGCGTTCCCTCGAGACGCTTTAGTATTTCTGGATTTTCCTGGTTATTTAACCTTTTCTCAGGGTTTTTAACATTGGCATGGAATCCTTTTTGATTATCAAAAATTTAGGTTTCAACTACGAACACAAAAGTTTATTTGACCAAAATGTGTTTCGAAAAGGATGGGTGGTTTACGATGGGATAAATATATATCACACGTCTGACGCCAGACTGTATGCCAAACAAATAACGATATAACACACATATAAAGGTCTGAAAGACCACGGAACAAAGTAAGCCTCAACTTAAAACCGAATGAAAGTGTGTGCTGTCTGATATTGCAAATCTCATTTTAATGCCACGACATCTGTAGAACGTACTCGCTTACGGATAAACTTCACATCACAGATCTGAAGTATATTTCAAGTTATCTCGAAAAAAATATTATGAAAGCACATTGTCATAAGTCTTGTTTCGCAGGCATTCTTAGTGAACAGTAGAGTATTTCGATCATAAGCATTGAAGGAGGGAGTACATCGAAATTCCAAGCGGCAAGCACCTTCTGGAAGCGAATGTCGATGGGTCATTCGGGCGCTTGCAACATATCCTCTCAAGAGTCCACTAAACTTTTTTTGATCATCACCTTGAACTTACTGAAAGTTTTATCTGAATGGGCTATAAGATGATAGATGCAAAGTTGAATGTCCAGGCATAATGTTGGTCGCATTACCTCAGTCATATATGGACGCATTGTAGTTTTCTAGCAATTCGTTGGATTATTCTTCAAGAAGTCTTGAGTAAACCGATTCAATCGTGAATGACATTCTCCATGTGGGATTCACTAACTGAAATACATGCAAAAACGTTAATATCCGCTGCGCTGCATTGAGGATGCGGTAGAACACACGGCTTTTCCACTTTGGATAGTTTTACACTATGAATGAATATCGCACAATTGCTCAGAACGAAAGGACGTTCTAAGGAGATTAGTCATTAAACTGACACTCGTAATATCAGAAAATGTAGCATAAAACAAGCTCAGTTTGAAGATAGTCCGCTAAATTGTACCAAGATCACCACTGTACGAATTAGCTGCCTTGCATTAATACTTCCATCACTGGATTTTGTTCCTACTCCAGCTACATGCTGTGCACGGACACTGACGCAGTGACTCAGTTTTCAATTTCAAGTCAAGTCACAAATCGCTTTATTCGTCCTAATGTATGGATTTTCAGCTCCTTACACACCAGGGTCATTCATCGTCTCATACAGTCACAGAGAAAAAATAAAACACAGCATCATAAATTCAAGAGGAGTATGGCATAAAAAATTTGAAAATGGATATCATTTACCTAGAATTTTAAAAAGTTGTCTCTAACGGATGCTTTCTGTGCCAGAAATCTTGAAAGACATGGGATAACGCACAAACGGTAGGCAGTGTTAAGTGTACACAAACTTATAACGACACCTGGAAACGGACGTGGATATACATTCGTTAAGTTCTGTGTGTGATGAGTGAGTGATGTCTGAAAGAATTGTTATGTTTTACGCCGCTGATATCCATTGCTTACCAACATGTCGCACAGCACTATATCACAGGTGAACACCACAAGTGCAAATAACACAAGATATAGCACAGTAACACTAGTGGCACATGGGAACACGAGAACAACGGACTAGCACTAACTCCGTGAACGAATGATATTTCTAGGAGCAGAAGCTACCTAGGCGAAACACAGGACGCACGGTCGGCTATCGATCTCTTAGGCCTCCCAGAACACGAGAGAGGCATGGTTTCAGCAGCACGGGATTTTAA